GCCGCCTTCAGCACCAGGCACTAGCGGACAGCTCCCTCCGGGCAGGGCTCCAGCCACCGCACCGGGCCCCGCGCAGCCGCACGGACCCTCCGCCAGGTGGGAGACACCGCGGGGCTCGGTTGGGCGAACAAGGGAGGCTGATGGCCCTGTGGAGTGGGGGGAGCAGGAGGGACCACGCATTGGGGGGGAAGCAACGAGCGGGGACCCCCCCCTCAATCTCGGGAGGGCTGTAGCGATGCTGAGGAGGAACGAGGGGTCAGGCAGGAGAGAACGAGCCTCTACCTCGGGAGACAGCCGAGCGAAGCGCAAGAAAAGGTGGTTCAGGGCGGTTGTGAGGTAGAGGGTGCCTCCCCACCAGAACTGGGTGGATAGGAAGACAGAGAGGCATGGTCTGGCTTCCGTTGTAGCTTTCCTCATTTTGGTGTTAAATGGGAAGGAAATCACCTGGGTTCCCAAAAGGGTCTCCCTTAATCCTAGAAAGTCACGGATGGGTGCCCCCTCATTTCAGAAGGCTGGTCTGTACAATGCCCCTTATGTTGCCATGTCGGTCCAACAAGACAGGCTCTATCTCCTGTGGTAGAGTTTTGGTGTTCTCTGAAGGGACACCGCAGGAAAGCCAAAGATTTATAGAAAGACTGTGCTGGGTGCCATTTGAGAGTCATCTTTCAGGAGAAAGAGGACAGGCTGCCTATGTTTGATAGTATTTAACCACGAGTAGGAAAATCTTCTCCACTGTGCTGGAGAAGATAGGAGCATGTGCTGCTATCACACAGGCGAAGATTTCTTCAGAGTGCAGTAGTGCGGGCTGTGTTGGGGAGAAGGGAGCAGAGAAGCATGAATGGGATGCTGATTACACAGCAAAGGGAGGAATGAGTGGCACACAAAACAAAGAAGGAAGGACATGGTGAGGAACCACAAGTAGCTCTTCACAATCTCTAGATTCTCAAGTAATAGTTTGGCTTGACTTGTCAACAAGAACAAACATTTCCCTTACAACAAGATCCACAGCACTCCTTTGTCACTTACACTGTTATGATGTTGCCTTATAATTATAATATGATGGTGCATTGGCCTAATGCATATATATATATACGTTGTAGCCTTTCTGTCATGTATAGAAAAGAAGGGTTATATAATCTGCATGTTGTACATCTGTGTAGGGAAGGAGCTGAACAAAAATATGAGTGCTTAGTATAGTGTCTCACAAAGGAAAATACAACATACCGAGGGAAGGTAAAAATATAATAATTAGGTAAGATGCCACATATAGTCAATTTTAAATCAATTAAAAAACCCAGCAATCTTCATATTAGAGTAAAACAGATGTCTACTATGGAAAGCAGCAGGGTGGAACATGAAAGTTAGCAAAAAAGATGATAGTTATTTTAAAAAGTCGACAAAGTACTATTTTTCAGCATCCAGCATCTTATAGTAAAATATCAATTACATCTAAATTCTGAGTTACTTTTTATTGAAAACATTGATAGAAGTGTAGTTAATCAAGAAGTGGATTATGTATATTTGCAAATTTAAGGAGGACTTTTACTGCTGAATGATCTCTTGCTGCATAGAGGCAATAGTGGGTTCTGGAAAATTCAAATAGCTCCATGCTCTGTTTTGGGATTAATACTGAACTTTCATTTTCATTATCATGAAAGTTCATGATTGAAACATTTGATTCTGGCTGAACTGGATGTTTTACTATTTAATTTTTTTAAACTAAAAGTTTGTAGAATAAATTTGATAAACAACGCAGCTTGTTCTGTGCTAATTTCTTTAAATGTTTGTTTATCATACTTAAAAGTTGTATGGATAGGTGTTTTGGTAATGTCTTTAATTTTAAGTCACTTCTGAAAAGGTAATCCATTTGTAGATTTATCATCTGTATACAGAAAAAGTGATGCTGGATTTATAATATTGCAGCTATTTCTATTTCGCAGAGTTTCAATTTGAAATTTACATCTTGGCTGATATAGGGAAGCTATAGGCCAAGCGACAATGCATAGCAAAGCAAAGCTTACCAGTGACATAAGAATAAATGGATATTTAAATGCTTTGGCAAATACACTTGTTTAAAGCTTGGGAGATGTGTGTGGCTCATCATGTACAAATAAGACAGAAAGAAAACAAATGCTTTTGTACTGGGACCTTCTAATTACTACCGTTGGAAATGTGTGCCTCTGGAAGCTTTCTTTAATGTTGCAGCCTAGATTCATTTATGCACCATATAGTGTTACTGATAGAGAGTAGACTATTTTGTTTTCAGGCATTGCGCACTGAGGCTTTTCAGTGACACTCCTGCTGTGATGTGTTGAAGAGAAGAGCTGGGAAGCCATCCAAGTACTAATACATTTGTGCAGAAACGTGCTGGACCTTCTTCCAAACCTAGACAACCAGTTCATCTTTTCTCTGTCATAATAGACATCCTATCCTTTTTGTGCCCTGATTAATGCATGCTTATTTTGTAGTTTTTCTAGGCTTCTGCTTAGGGGACATGCTAAAATAGTCATGGATATGGGCAGTTTTGAACTGTGGGGTATTCATGTCAGCCTGATGAGCAAAACAACAAACAGTTGTGTCAGCTTAGACAATCAGGAATGTGATGCTGATGGAAAGTATAATATCAGATAATAGATATTTCTATGGGCAACAGGGTATTTGTACCATACGTCTTATTAAAAGGCTTTTTTGATTAATGCAAGACGTATTTTGTTTGGGACGTTTATTATACAGAAATGTGTTTAATTTCACAATTTCCAGTGATATCTGTACTGTGTTTTAAATGCAAGAGAGCCTACCCACTGAAATGAGGAATACTAAGGTAGAGCAATATATTTGCAACGATAGCAATGACAGAAGAGGAATATAGCTCAGTACTAAATAACATGTTTTGCACAGAAAAGATTCCATATTCTGTCCCTGGTATTTTCAGGACAGGCTAGGAAAGAAACCCAGCAGGGTCACTGTAAAATAGACCAGTGTTCGGATTCAGTATAAAACAACTATCTGTATTGCCTCCTATTTTTAGCAGGCTCTTTTTCCGGCCTGATGTATTTTTGTTCAGACTTTACATTGATCCTTAGGTTTGAATGCTTTATATACACTCATCTGGGCATAAACTCCATTGCACATAGTGGGATTTGCTTCTAAGCAAATGTGCATAGAATTGTGCTTTAGGTTTTCATTTACCCTTGTAAATGAAAACCTAATGGTACTAATCCCCTTCTTCCAAATGCCTGATATCTTTAACGTCATGGAGAGCTGGCTGCCTAGGTAGAACTCATTTGTAATAAGACTGCGAACTAAGAATGTAAATTACTTTTTTTATTGCCACTTGATCTTCTGAACTTTCTGTTCAGTATCTTAACAACATACAGTAGCAGTTAATCTTGGACAAAACCTAGCCTTGGACCAAGGGTTGGTCTTGGTCTAGGGAAAGATATAGTGTTTGAAAGTCACACATTTTAAATTGAGTACTTACTCTTCTCACAGTTTTTTACTTATTGTTTTAACCATGGACCTGTTGCTAGATACATACTGTAGTTTAGTACAAGACTCAATATTGTCAAGTATATTTTCTGTAAGCTATCATGTTGATTGTGACTTACCAGGGGTTCCTAGGTATAAAATACTCAGAAGTGGTTTACTATTTCTTCTTTTGGTGGTGCTCTGGAACTGTATAACTTGTCCAGAGTTATACAGGCCAACACTTTTCCTGCAAAAACACAGTTGAGAATTGAACTTCTGACCTCTGGCTCTGCATCTAGGTATCCAACTTACTGAGCTATCCAGTCAGCTGTCTTTATAAGAGGGTTTTTAGAAGTTCTTCTCTTGTCTGTTGCCATGCCAGTGACACAGGCTGGTACCATGAAATAGCATCTTAAAGGTAGGTGGTCAAAGGAAGAGGAACACTTTAAATATTGAATTTATAGGAAGTAGTCTGAGGGACGTGTGAACTGAGTTTATTACATGAGTGAAAATGTTTAAGGAAACTGGGTACAAAATAATAAATAGTGCAAGGGAGCTAAGTAGCCCATTGGAATTGAGGGAAATTGAGTTAGAGGGGCTGGAGAGGCATATGTGAGTGTGAAATTCCTATTTAATATCTCCATTTGAATTAACCCATGTAGTTGCAAATCTCTTATCTGTATACAATTCAGAAGTCAAACCAGTCAATAAATATATGTCTTGTAGTGAAAGGGGTATGCATTTTGACCATAATTTCACTAAAATACATAAATCATTCCTCAAATTTAAATTACAAACAACTCATAAGACATGCAAATGTATTTTATTTATAAAAGTCTAGCATGCCATTGGGATTAACAGTATTCCGTTTTCTAGTTAATTCATTATTAAGATCTCTTTCTGCATGTTATCAAACCTCAGTAATGCTCAGCAGTAATCTTTAGCAAAATGCTTCTTTGTCTCCCACTTTTTAAAAATTATGTAAAAAGCAACAACAATAGAAATCTAACAGAAATATATAATCAAATAAAAGAAAATGTGTCAATTCTAAGAAAGGATATGGACTCCTTATTTTTTTTTCTTTTTTGAAAGAGATAGTGAAAAAAGAGGAAATGTTGTAGTCTTGGGTTTGCACATGGGACAATAATAATTGTGTGCCATCAACTCCATTCTGAATTATGATGACCCTTTTTGGGATTTTCTAGGTAGAAAATACTCAGAAGTGGTTTACAATTCCCTTCTTCTGGGGGCACCATGGAATTGTGTAGCTTGCCTCAGACCACATAGGCTAGCTCTTCTGAGGTGTGGATTAATTTAGACTGTAGACAGTGTTGTATTTTGTGTATGTGTGTACATACTCCAGAATATTGCATTACTTTCAAGAAGGTAAATTTAGATAACCTAATGACTGTAATCCTGTTGATGGTGTGGAAGGTCTGCATAAATTACTACAGCTAAATATGGTCAGCAAATGGGCATCGGTAAGTATTGACAAGAGGCTCAGTGTCTTCCAGCAGAGGTGTCTCAGCCGAATCTTAAATATCTGATATTTCAATCACATTACCAACAAGGAACAACTCATGTAAACTTCATAACATAGAAGACTCCAACAAGCTGGACATATTTTT